CTATCCACCTAATCGTCATGTGTCCTCTCGTCTTATTTTTTGCTAGTTTCGCCGGTGCTTGCTCACGGAGAGACATGTCCATCGCTTCGAGATTAATTGAAGTGGAAATCTCTTTGGTATTATCTTGAAAACGCACAGTTTGCACTCTCACGCGCCTTCGTCCGCGCTCCACTTCATCTGAGTAGCACCATATGTAAAGCTAATTTAACCAGACGCACCTTCGACCCCGAAATCATCTAGGTGGTTGAGGGTGCCGTCCTCTCGTGATGCAAGACGAGCATCGATTTCAGACTGAAATGACCCAAATTCAGTACTATTTCTTAACTCCAACATGTCCCACCTCTGCGTTACGTCGCGCTGCGACCTCCATGGTTTCATAATTTTGAGAGTCAAGCAAGTTGTAATCGTAATCGTCCAATTCTGGTATGGCCGCATAATCACCCTCCATGTTTTCCATCAAACTCTCTCCAGAGCCGTTGTCGGACGAGTCGCTTCCATAATCCTTGCTGCGGGTGCGTTTCATAGCGAGTCTCACTGGGGCGTAAAACTGGGGCGTATTGCCTCAAGCGCGCTTGTCTCACTCGTTTTTAAAAATTTAAGGCGGCTCATTCGACTATGAATTACATGTACTGGATAATGCTAAAGCCTGGGAGCACTTTAGCGCGTCTGACCTCCATTCCCTGCAGGTGCACAGCGCCGGCATGGTCCAGCTGCGTCGCCTCGAGGTCGTAGGCCTCGTCGACCGCGTCGACGACGAGGACACGAGGAAGCTTGCAAAGGGCATGCTCGAAGTCGCTCCGAATTTTCAAGTTGACCATGCTGCTCTATGGTGGGTTCCCGTCGAGAGCATCGAGGCGGTTGTGATTGCAGCACACACGCATGATGTCGCCTACGGCGACTTGTGGTGGCTGAACGGCGTTAAGCGTGTGGTCGTCTGCGGAAAGCAGATTACGGAAAGCGGTAAGGAAAAAAGCATAGATGTGGAGGGATTCGACATGTTCCCG